TTTGATCCTCCACCAAATGTTGTTGAAAGCTTTCACTGTGTCACAGATAGAAGGTTCTAAAAATGCTCCCAAAGAAAATTACTTCTAACTTAGAGAAATTATGAACTTCCCAAAGAATTTCTTTGGGTTCAACCCAGAGAAAATTGAAATTTCTCTACAGAGAAAATTGAATTTCTCTACAGAGGAAAGAGGTCTTGGAAATTCAATGAAATCAAATCTAATAAAGTTGGTATAGTTGAAAATTTCTCAGAATTCATTCATCAAATTCCACTTGACATTGAAATCTTTCTTCACAACCATAAAAAGTAGGAAGCAACCTTCATCATTATCATCATCTTCTTTCTACATCATCTGTAGCAGCACCATGAAAGCAAAATAAGCAAGAGCACTTTGATAGCATCAACACAAATGCACAACAAGATAAATGATTAACTGGATATAGCATGAGGCAATAACAAAACTTCCAGAGAAATTTGAACAACCTAGAGACCTACCAGAGAAATTTGAACAAACCAAAGATTTACCAGAGAAATTTCAACAACCAGAGAAATTTGAAGGAAGCTAAATTGCAAGATATCTCGGAGGAGCACTACAAGAAAAAACACTTTTGGCGACCACTTATTTTTTTTGGTCGCAAATAGTCCACTTTCTGCGACTAAAATTTAACTTTTGGCGACCACAATTTTTTGGTCGCGGAAAATCACATTTTGGCGACAAAAAAAAAAAAGTTGGTCACGAAAAGTATACTATTGGCGACCAAAGGCTTTTTTGGTCGCGGAAGATCACCTTTTGGTGACCAAAAAAAAAGTTGGTCACGGAAAGTATACCCTTTGGCGACCAAAAAAAAAGTTGGTCGCGGAAAGTATACTATTGGCGACCAAAGGCTTTTTTGGCCGCGGAAGATTACCCTTTGGCGACCAAAAAAAAAAGTTGGTCGCGAAAAGTATGCTATTGGCGACCAAAGGCTTTTTTAGTCGCGGAAGATCACCGTTTGGCGACCAAAAAAAAAAGTTGGTCGCGGAAAGTATACTATTGGCGACCAGAGGCTTTTTTTGTCGCGGAAGATTATCCTTTGGCGACCAAAAAAAAAAGTTAGTCGCGGAAAGTTATGGCGGGATAAATTTTAAAAAAAATGATACTACAGTAATTACATGCTATTTTTCTATTTAGGCATTAAAAGTTTTATAAAATAATATATAACCCAATTTTTATGGGTTATATATTTTTTTTTGCCAAATATGAACAAAAAGTATGTTATTGGCAGAGTGGCAGAGTGGATTGGGTGTATGGTGACTCCTTGGTCAGGAGTTCAAGTCCCAGGGAGCACAAAAGAACTATTTTTTTTGGGTCAAGGCGCTGACTTTTGGCGACCAACTTATCTTTGGTCGCTAAAAGTTTACTTTTGGCTAATATGAATTGGACTTTCTGTGACCAAAAAAGTTGGTCGCGAATGGTCACTTTTAGCAACCAAAGGCTTTTTTGGTCGCAGAAAACTATCTGTGACGAGGCTTTAGTGACCAACTCGCGACCAACATATTTTGGTCGCGAAAAGGTTTTAGCGACCAAATATGGTACTTTTCGCGACCAAAATGTTGGTCACGGAAAGTGTTTTTTCTTGTAGTGGAGAATGAGGGGCTGCATATGAAGCTTGAGAAGAGCTTACCAAGCCAGAGAGAATATGAACTGGAAAAGGAACTGAAGAAATCAAAAGACAACATTGAACATTTGAGGGCAAATTTGATGGATAAGGAGACGGAATTGAAAAATATATCAGAGAAAAATGAGATGTTGAAGTCAGAAATGAAGGGAAGAGAAATGGCGAAAGTTTGAAAAAACACATCCAGAGGCAAAGCCAGCAAGGACAGAAAAAGCAAACTTACACTTTGTAAGGAGAGATTAGGGAGAGAGAAATAGAAGAGAGTTTCTAGTAAGAAAGAGAGAGAGAGAGAGAGAGAGAGCAGAGTCCTCTTCGTCGGCCTGTTGATTGCCGCGATTCCGTTTCGGTGATTTCGGAGTAACTTGTTGATTTGGTCTGTGTTCACAGCTCGGTCAAGACCACGGTTCGTGGGTCTAGACATGTTTGAGCAAGAACAAGGTCTGATAGCTGTGAGCAAGCTCACAAGGATGAAGGAAGAAGCTAGGGTTTGGGGTTGATGTAGGAGAGAGAGAGAAAGAGAGAGAGAGAGAGACCAAACTCAGCTTTTGAAGCCCTTTCGTTTCTTTTTAAATTTCTCTGTGATAGATGAGTTTGGGATTGAAGGACTTTAGATATCATAAAATAATATTGTGGATCTCTTCCATTATTAAAAGTGAGAGAGGGACCTTAGACTAATTTTCCCTTAGAAAAATGGAACCAAACATGATAAATATTTTTATCTCTTTTCTATTAAAATGTATATTTACCTTTACTTATTTAAGTGTTTATCACTATGGGTATTAGTAGTTTCGATCACTTTTACACTAAAAGAGAAGTCAGTTTAATTATATCAAAAGTGTAGGACTAACGGTATATTTTTTTTTTTCAAATGACAAAGAGTGTAATTTATCCTAAAAATCTATACTATCTATACTATTATATAAAATTGGATTCTTGAAACTTTTGCCATGTGACATTTACATTAAAAAAAAAAAAAAAAAAACTACTCTACAATAACTTCCCATTTAACAACATTCTCCAAATAAACACTCTACAATAACTTCTTATCTTCTCCAATAACTTACTTTTATATTTTTATTTTTTATTTTTTTTACTTTTTGCTTTCTTCCTCTATTTCTATAATGTTTTCTCTTTTAAAGAAAGTATAAAAGTGTTTGATTCAATTATGGTAAATGAAGTACAAACTACTAGAAAACTATCTTTTTGTTTCTCTTTGAGTTTAGTCAAAATTATTTTTATATTCAATTTATTGTATTTTTAAATTTATATATTTAATTTTTTAATGCACTTTTTTGATCTTATATTTATTTTATGATGTGTGTGCTCGATCGCTACTCTATATAATAAAGTAAGAGGATTTTTGAATTTTTAATATATTTTTGTCTTTCTAAGATATTTAAACGGTTCAAATTTGTTCAAATTATAAAACAATGGCGGAGACTTGTTCAAGAAGACAATGTTGAAGGTTTGGAGACTTGTTCCAGTTGCAATGCTGTGGTCAGTTTGGAGATTAAGAAATGATTGTATATTTAATGGCTGTCAATACAGAATGGATGAGCTTTGTGAAAGAGTAAAGGTTAGAGTTAGGATGTGTATGAAATCTAATCTGAATGGTGTTCCCTACTCAGTGCATGATATTGTGGAAAATTTGAATCAGGTTAGATTATGTTTATAAGGTGGATGACTGGTTGAGACTTTATGTTTATTTGGTGGATGGCTGGAAGCTTAGTGGCAGATTTGCTGGTATGTGTATTAGGTGGAGTTATGTATTAGAAATGGAGGTGGATTGATCTGGAGCAAGTCTGGTGGCATATTTATTCTGCTGAAATTACTCTGCTGCTAGTGCTCTGCTGCTGTTATTTATTCTGATGATATTACTCAGCTGTTGATATTAGTCTGCTGATATTCATGGTAGCAGTGGTCTGGCCAGGTTTCATATTGTTTGTTGAGTGGCTTATTGTTTTGGTCTATGATGTTTGTGTTTGTTGCTGTTATGTGTGAGTGCACTCATGCTGCTACTGATTGAAGTATTTGGTGGTTGGTTTGGGTGCTGGTTCTGATCTAGGTGTTGGATTTGTTTGGAGCTCTTGGCTGTTGAGACATGCACTGTTATGTTTGTTTGGTTGTGTAAGCCTTTGGTTGTTAGTCTCATTTTCTTTGGGTGTCTTTGATTGGTTCCTCACCAATCCTGGGTCGAGAGCTAGCATATGATTGTGCTTTCTTTGCGTTCCCAACTTAGTTAGAATCGTTAAGTTAGTTATGATGCTTTCTGCTCTCCCCTGCTTTGTTGATGTATTTTTTGCATGTTTTATGCTTTTTTCATCAATAAAGTTCTTTTTTTGCTAATCAAAAAAAATAAAAATAAAATACCGCTCACATATTCATTATTTGTAACCATAGCTAAATCAATTAGATAACCTTAAGAAACTGTTTCAATTATTGGCTAAGCTAAACCCTATATATATCCCCATCAAAAAGAAAATTAAAAAAAAAAGCCCTTCACATATATAAAAACAATACTGTTATTTTCTTAACCACTTTATATATGGTAAATTCACAGTAAGAATATGTTTGGTTCATGGATTTAAAGAGAAATTTAGAAAAGAAAAAAGTGTGAAATGTAATAAAATATAATTATATTTCATTCACATTTCACTTATATTATTCTTTTTTTAAATTCTTATCTAAATTTATAAACCAAACACAACCTAAATGAATATTAGTGATATTAATGTGGGACAATTGTTGTCAACATTTTTAAGTGTATCACAAAAAATTGAAAAAAATGAGTTATGCTAGCATGCTAGAAGTGTGGGTAAACATTTCGTGATTGTGTAACAATTAGATCAATCGTGACAAAGTGTAGAAAATGATAAACTAATTCTCATTGAATGAATAGATGAGCAGGCTCATAGATATACAAGCACAAGTGGTTATAACTAACTAGCTATCTCTAACCAAACTAGATATTTCCTCCTTTATTTCCACACATGCATTAGTCTGTTAGTGATGATTTAACATTTCCCTGCAAACTCATGGGGGAAAGACACCATAAGTTTGTCCTTAAGGTATTGAAAGTGGGAGATAGACAACGGTTTGGTGAAAATGTCGGCCAATTGATCAATGGTGGGAACATAATGAAGAGAAAGATGTTTAGCAAGCACTTGTTCACGAACAAAATGTCAATTAACTTCAATGTGCTTGGAACGGGAGTGAAACACGAGATTGGATGCCAAAGCAAGAATAGAAAGATTATCACACCAAAGCATAGGCAAAGTAGAAGAAGACACAAACAAATCAACAAGTAACATACGTAGCCAACTAATTTCAGCAGCAGTATGAGCTAAAGCTCTATATTCAGCCTCGATCGAGGAACGAGAGACAGTGGCCTGTTCTTGGCAGACCAAGAAACAAGATTAGAGCCCAAAAATATACAATAACCAAAGGTGGACTTGCGATCAACCGTATCCCCAGCCCAGTTAGAATCAGAAAAAGCATGAACATCAAAAATACCAAGTGTATATGTTAGGCCATGAGTGAGAGTGCCCTTAACAAATCGAATCAACTGTTTAATAGCAAAGAAATCACCATTGGTATGGGCATGCATGTGTTGGCAAGCTTGATTGACAGCCAAAGAGAGATCGGGATGAGTGATGGTCAAGTATTGCAAAGCCCTAACAAGAGTACGACAGAGAGAAAGATTAGAAAATAGAAGATCAGAAGAAGTAGACAAACCAGGTTTAACATAAATGGGAGACGGGCAAGGCTTACAATCATCTAACCCAGCTTTGTGAATAATTTCTTGAGCATACTTTTGTTGAGAAAGGAAATAATGAATAACAGAGGCTTAAACAGAGATCCTAAGAAGATAGGACATATTGTCTAATTCTTTCATGGAGAAAGCAAGATGCATTTAAGTAACTAAGAAGTGAATATGAGAGGGATCACTGTCAATAAGTAATATATCATCAACATAGACCACTAAAATGGTAATGGAAGAGGGTGTTTTGTGAATGACAAGAGAGGAATCACAATGACTATTATAAAAACCTTGAGAGAGTAAGAAGGTAGAAAATGTTAAATGCCAAGCACGAGAGGCTTGCTTAAGCCCATACAAAAGCCCTATGAAGCTTGCACACATGAGTAGGATAGGAAGAATCAACAAAACCAGGTGGTTGGGTCATGAACACCTCTTCTTCAAGCTTGCCATGAAGGAAAGCATTGGATATATCTAACTACTTGAGTGGCCAGTGATGATGCAAGGCAAGACAAAGAATAATCATTTTTATTTTTATTTTTATTTTTATTTTTATTTTTATTTTTATTTTTATTTTTATTTTTATTTTTATTTTTATTTTTATTTTTATTTTTATTTTTATTTTTATTTTTATTTTTATTTTTATTTTTATTTTTATTTTTATTTTTATTTTTATTTTTATTTTTATTTTTATTTTTATTTTTATTTTTATTTTTATTTTTATTTTTATTTTTATTTTTATTTTTATTTTTATTTTTATTTTTATTTTTATTTTTATTTTTATTTTTATTTTTATTTTTATTTTTATTTTTATTTTTATTTTTATTTTTATTTTTATTTTTATTTTTATTTTTATTTTTATTTTTATTTTTATTTTTATTTTTATTTTTATTTTTATTTTTATTTTTATTTTTATTTTTATTTTTATTTTTATTTTTATTTTTATTTTTATTTTTATTTTTATTTTTATTTTTATTTTTATTTTTATTTTTATTTTTATTTTTATTTTTATTTTTATTTTTATTTTTATTTTTATTTTTATTTTTATTTTTATTTTTATTTTTATTTTTATTTTTATTTTTCATCCCCGCCCCTAAATTGATTTCCATTCCCGCTCCCCCCTTTATTTTTTTCCCATTCCCGCTTCCACACCCCCTCCCAAAAAAAAAAAAATCCCTAATCTCAAACCCAAAAAATCCCTAATCTCTTCTTCCCCCCCTCTCTCTCTCGATCGACGGCGGGCGGCGATCGACGGCGAGCGGCGGCAGACGAGGGCCAGCCGACAGTAGCCGAAGCGCCAGCCGAGATCAGAGACCTCTTCGACCGTTACTCCGAAAATGGAATCATGACCGTCGATCACCTTCACAGGTTCTTGATCGAGGTTGAGGGAGAAGATAAAGCCACAAAAGAAGACGCAGAGTCGATCATGGAGTCTCTCAATGAACTCAAACACCTCAATATCTTCCATCGCAAAGGTCTCCATCTCGAAGCCTTCTTTCACTACCTCTTCAGCGACTCTAATCCTCCTCTCTCTCCTTCTCCTAAGGTAATTCAAACAAAATCATTCTTAAACTTTCTCGCTTTCGCGCTCGAGCCAGATCCATTTCAGAGAAATAGTATATAGTGTTTGAGTTGAGAATACATTGTTCAAATTTGATTTGAAAATTTTGAGGATGCTGAAAATGTATTTAAGCTTTACTTGTTTACTGTTCAAGTCGATTTAGTAATGGATTGTTGAAATTTGATTTGAAAAACTTGAAGATATTTAAATTGTATTTAAGCTGAGTTGGTCACTGATTAAGTCAGATCTCAAATGAAAAAATATGAATGTAACATTCAAAAACTAATGGTAAATTAATGATAAATTATATAAATATTAATAATTATAATTTTTTCATTCGTATTATCCAAACTCTAAGCTGTGTGTGGGCCACCACCATATTTACAGTGTCCCAACTCTTTGGTAAGCTGAGACAAGTTATTAATAGGCAAAGTTAGGGAAGTGCCAAACATGGAATTAGATACAGATATAGGATTATTTTATAGATATAGGATTTTGGAATTAGAGATAATTTACGGTGTCCATCTGTAAAGCTGTCCTAATCTTTCAAAAGATACCATGGGATATATCATCATACATATATCTATTGACTATATATGTTTTTCTTTTTTTGATGTATATAGATATAGGATTTTGGAGGGGATTTGAGAAAAAATTAGAGATGATTGGGGTTCAGAAGGAGTCTTAAAGGATGAAGAGGCTCTTTGTTTAGATGCAACACATTATGGAAATGTTGCAAGGTTTATTAATCATAGGTTGACAAGGATCAGAACACATTAATAATTAAGAGGAAGCCACAAGGGCATATGCGCTTCTGTGTTTTGTTGAACTTACCTATGATTAATAAACCTTGCAACATTTCCATAATGTGTTGCATCTAAACACAGAGCCTCTTCATCCTTTAAGACTCCTTCTGAACCCCAATCATCTCTAATTTTTTCTCAAATCCCCTCCAAAATCCTATATCTATATACATCAAAAAAAGAAAAACATATATAGTCAATAGATATATGTATGATGATATATCCCATGGTATCTTTTGAAAGATTAGGATAGCTTTACAGATGGACACCGTAAATTATCTCTAATTCCAAAATCCTATATCTATAAAATAATCCTATATCTGTATCTAATTCCATGTTTGGCACTTCCCTAACTTTGCCTATTAATAACTTGTCTCAGCTTACCAAAGAGTTGGGACACTGTAAATATGGTGGTGGCCCACACACAGCTTAGAGTTTGGATAATACGAATGAAAAAATTATAATTATTAATATTTATATAATTTATCATTAATTTACCATTAGTTTTTGAATGTTGCATTCATATTTTTTCATTTGAGATCTGACTTAATCAGTGACCAACTCAAGCTTAAATACAATTTAAATATCTTCAAGTTTTTCAAATCAAATTTCAACAATCCATTACTAAATCGACTTGAACAGTAAACAAGTAAAGCTTAAATACATTTTCAGCATTCTCAAAATTTTCAAATCAAATTTGAACAATGTATTCTCAACTCAAACACTATATACTATTTCTTTGAAATGGATCTGGCTCGAGCGGTTACGAAAGCGAGAAAGATTAAGAATGATTTTGTTTGAATTACCTTAGGAGAAGGAGAGAGAGGAGGATTAGAGTCGCTGAAGAGGTAGTGAAAGAAGGCTTCGAGATGGAGACCTTTGCGATGGAAGATATTTTAATTTTTGCTATTATATCAAGTAAATAGGAACCAAATCAAAATTTTATTGCTATTATATCCCGTTACACAAAAATGTCAAATCTACAATCTCTGTCTTCTCACAATATCACAAATTTAGACACCATCAAATACATTAAAACAAATAAAAATAAAACAACCAATGTTTTATCAGCACGTCAAATTCAAAACTTGAAGTTCCATTTTTTGAGAAACATATTTTTTTCCTGAGAAACAGGGGTACATTCAAATTCATTAAAAGCTTTGATATTTCTTGCAATCCCAATAATGCATTTTCAATCTTCAAATTTCAACAATTAAATAAAAAACTATGATATATCCATATACCCAAACACATGCATATACATATCATCCATAACATGAGTATATATTACCTCTCTGTTTTTCCCCTCTAGCATCATCTTGAGCTCAGTGATCTCTCCTTCCTACTCCTTATTCTGACTCAAAAGCTCCCTCTCACTCCTAAGCACCATAGCCAGAGTCCTCGTATTCGATTTCACCTCCGTCAAAGCCTTCTTCTCACTCCCCACCGACCCCGACCCCGACCCCAACCCCTTTCCAAACAGCTTCCGATGCAAACCGGAGAAATTCGACCCATTCTTTGCAGTCTTCTTCAAATCCTCCGCTATAAAATCCGCCGGAATGACCAAATTCGCCGCCTTCTTCGGCTTCGCCGCCCTCTTCTCTATCAATTTCTTCACCATTGCACTAAAATTCTCATCGTTCTTCACTCTCACCTGAGCTACGTCCGACGATTTGGCCTTGACGATGGCACGCGAAGAGTTGTGCTCTGCTGCCGCGGCCGGAGATTGGCTCCGGCGGGCGGTGGATCCGGCGATGAGGCGTTTGAGGGAGGATTGCTTGGGTTTGTTGAGCTCGGTGGAGGACGATGGATTGGACTGGTGAGACTGAGTCGAAGATCGAGAATCGATAGAGCTGTATCGCAATGCAGCGGATTTGATTGAAGCCATTTTTGGGTTTGGGAGTGATTGGTGTGAAGATCTGTGACTGATTTTAGCGTTTGAATCTCAAGATAGAGTGAGCATTTCTAGGGTTTCTGATGAGAGAAAGAGAGAGAGATTGTCTGAAATCTGAGACATAAAAAGGGGAGAGGCGTGTGGCGGAGATTGGTCGTGATATGGGGGGAGTGGCTTCTTGGCGCTGTCTGAATTCAAATTTTCGCGTGAGAGGCGCGCAATGCTTTCAGCACACCGGTGATAAAAAAGTATAATTTGATGAAAAGT